CTCGCGATACTCACGTATGGAGTGTTAAGATCCGAGGCAAAGCTGGAAGAAGTGCTGGCGGCAGCGGTGGTCTTTGAGGAGGACGAAGAGGGTTGACAAGAAAGACGATCCAGTCGCGGCTGACACTGTCGAGTTGCTGAGAGCCGGAATGGAGCACAAGAACTGGATGTAGTCTCGGAATCCTGGCAGCAAAAACACCTTAGTCGAGACGAACGCGATCGAATAGAAAACCTCACCGGCATCGAAGATCAAGCCAGGATCAATCGCCGCTGCGGGATTCACAAAACCGGCTCCAAAGTCGAATGGGGTGGCCGGGCCGAGAATGGAGTCGACATTGCTCGAGGGGTGCTGTGCGAGTAGTGGCTGGCCATTCGAGTCGAGAGTGAGAGCGGTGGTGGACATGGCCGACGCAATCCCGGCGGGGCTGAGCGACGGGAAGCGCTGCTTGACGAGCGCCGCGATGCCGGCGATGTGGGGCGTGGCCATGCTCGCCCCGGAGATAAGCGCAAACTCCTGGCCTTCGAACTCCCGCTCGTCGCTCCCGATCGAGGACCACGCCGCCCAGATGAGGTTCCCGGGAGGCAGGATGTTGGGCTTGAGCACATCAGCCACGTCCAGGTTGTTGCTATTCACGTCCGGGACGAGTACGTCGCCACCTTGGTGCGGCCTCCTGCTATGGTGGCCATGGCCGTGGATGTGTTGTAGTAGTGGAGCAACACCTGGTGGCAAATGCAGTGAGATAGTTAAGATCCAAGAAAGGTGGCGGATGAACTTTACCGCGGAGTCTTTGGAGCTGGGGATGATGATCACCGGGAAGCCGATCGGGGACGGCGGGAAGCTGTGGCCGTCGACGTCGGGCGTGGCCAGAAACACAAGCCCGGACGCTCTGAGCTCTTGCACGGCTGCAACCGTGTCGGCCAGCGTCGACACCCCGAACAGATACCGCAGGCTGTAGCTGCACACGAGAATCCTGCCGCTGACGAGCGACCTGTTGTAGTTCCCGGCGTCCTGGCACTCATCGACAAGGATCCTGGACACATTCCCATTGGTGGCATCTGCTGCGGTGATAAGGCTGAAGCTGCCATTTGTCCCGGCTGCAAACAATACCCAGAAAGCCCCACATTACATCAGCTGGCAAGCATGGCACGTCAACGGAGCAGCTGGCGGGCACAAAAAAGGTGGCGGAGGGGCAAGATAACGACGAGGAAAGCCACAGAAGGCAGTACACTTGCGTGTATCTTACATGCGAGGCCGGTTCCCGTGATGCTCCCGAGGGTGATGGCGTTTGGGTAGGCCCTGTCGTGGGTGGCCGCTGCTACGGAGAATATCCAGGGGCTGAAGGACAGGCTGGTCCGGGGATACGGTCCCCCGTTTCCAACAGCCTGGGTCACAAACACGCCCGCCTTGACGGCCGACAGCAGCGCCAGGTCGAAGGTGCTCATGAATGTCAAGTTCCGGCGTGGGAGCCCGTTGGGCCCGACTGAAAGGCTCAGCACGTCCACTCCATCGGGAACAGCCTGATCGGTCACACAAAGCAATGTGACGAGAAATGGAGGAAAACGAAGAGAAACAAGGCAGGAGAACCCAAGTTGAAGGAAACAAAGAAACCGAATTGCACGGATCAGTCTCAGAAATTTTGAGTGACTGAGAGTGTGGGTATTTCAGAACTAGAAGAGTCACTGAACTGCTATAGCAAGAATTATCGGTGGTTCGCATTCGATGGTGGTTTCTTCGCCCTAGGACTCTTAATAGGTTACCCACGTTTTCTATAAGATATGGCTGAAGCATAATAATTAAATAAAGCATATTCATTTTTTAATGGTCTATGGTTCTGAGTTTGAAATGGTAAAATATGAGTTTCATCATTTCCAGATGCATTCCCAGAGCCTCACCAGATGAACTTCGTAGATTGCAATAAACCCACCAGGTTCAGCTCCAGTTGTGCTCGTTAATGCGTAGCCCTGAACGTTTCTGAACTCTCCTGTGCCCCCAACAACGGCTATTTCCCTTTGGGACTCAGTGAAGGGGTTCTGACCATGGAGCACTATTGTACCTTTCCGCCCTTCCAGCTCCACCGTCATGCTCTGGAGAGAGCTGCTTTTGCTCAGCGAATCTATCACCAGAAAACCCTTGGCTCTTCCCACAGGCTTGGAGTTGATCGAGGACTCCGTAGTCAACTTGTCATCAAAAATTGCAACCTGACCAAACAACGTTTCGTTGTTACGAGGAGGCAGGACGATTGCTGTTGTCGGATTGCTCCCATTGAACTGGTCGTGCAAGTAGAACCGGATCACCTCGGTGCACTTTGATAGATCCAATTCTCCCGGCTTTGGGAGGCTCGATTGTGCAGGAGCGATTGCAAAAACCAGTGTTAGAACGAGGGGAATGAAGATCTTCATTGCACAGCTGTGTGTACATTACTGCAGCACTAGAACTCTATTATGTACTTGAAGAAGAGAACTGGTCCTCTGGCGCTTGCGTGTGCCTAGCCAACTTGGTGTTTTTATGTCCAACACGTTCAAACAAGTTGACGAGGCACATCCAACATGAACAAGTTGCAATCATGGAGTAGAAGCTAGGTATATCCCACAGAAGTCATGCATTGATCCCAGCGCTGTAGATCACCGGGCTCGGCCAGATCGCGTCCACCACAGCACCGTCTAGAGTGACCACCACCTCTCACATCTCCGAGGAGCTTCCCTTGTCATCGTCACCATGCGAGGAAACAAAGACCTGCAAGCGAGCACTGACGACGTTGGTTGGAACAGTCACCACATAGCTTCAAAACACGAACACGAACACAAACACGAACACGGCATTCAATTTTTTGAACACGAACACGGAACACGGAAATGAACACAGATAAACACGGGTGAAAACATGAATATTCTCTAGAATATTCTACTTATCATCTCATCTAGAAGCTCCTCATTAGCAGGATCATCATCTTCGTCTTCGTCCTCTTCTTCCATAGCTTCAATATCAGCATCAGTAATTTGAGGAATACTTCCTGTCTGGCTCAATCCCACAAACTTGTCATAGAATCCTAGAGAGGGCATTCCCAGCCCAAGAAAATCGCCATAGATCTCTGGAAAAACCTTTTGATTGATCGCGGGAATTTTTTATTGATCGCAAGACAAGAAAACATCAAAGCGTAAAACGCTCATGTGAACCACGTGAGCTATTGTTTTAGAACACGGCGTGGTCACATGGTATTTGACCGTGTTTCAACCGTGTTTGGAGCCGTGTTTTGGAGCATTGACCGAGTCAATGAACACGGCCTGTGTTAACACGGCTGGGGGCCGTGTTCGTGTCACCACGCCAACACGCCATGGTGCACGGCATGTTTTGAAGCACTGAGTCACTATGGCGGAGGATTCCTGATCGTTTTGGAATACGAACAAAAGCCCAGTGGAGTTGGAGGGTGGTGGATGGATCAGGAGAACAGCAAGGGGCGGGAACAAACCGGCCGATGTTCCTGCCAGGGGTGAGAAGAATCGGCGACTTCCACAAGCTTGATCGATGATTTCGGCTGTGGATTCCTTGAACAAGTAGAAGTTGGCTGTGATGCTAATTCTGTAGGAAGATTTTGTCGATGGCAGTGACGAGTTCATGGAGGAGGAGGCAGTGACATCCAAGAAGATGAGCGAGAGATTTGAGCTGGATAGGAAGAGAGATTCGAAACTGGTGGCGTCCCTTTGGATCGTCCAGTTTGTCCCCTCCAGTGTCAGGAGAGGGGTGCTCGTGTGGAGCATCTGAGCGCCACCCAGCCACACTCCACCGATTTTTTGCTCCTTGGACAATCCCTTGCAAAAACCGGGTTCTTCGTGTGAGAAACCATGATGAGAAACTCACCTCGATCAGCAGAGAAGCTCCCAAGAACTCGGCATTGACAAGGGGGTGAGCGCATTTGACAGTGTCCTTTGGGATACTTGCATCCAAACATTTGAATGCAACTGGATTCGAACGGGTATCGAACATTTAATACCTGTTTAGCTTTTTCTCGAATGGGTATAATGGTTTTCAGTTCTAATATAATTAAAAAATAATTAACTGTTACTAAACAAAATTTAACATAATATAATATAGGTTTAATCTAATCTTCATCTTCCAAATCTAGAACATCATCACCACTAGCGCCGTCATCATCAGGTTGTTGAAAAGGTTCTTCAACAACCTTCTGAAGTGCAAGGATCCTTTGCCACTGAGGTTCAAGCTCAAAGTTATCAAGATCATGCTTGATAAGCCTCAAACTCCCAGACTCAATATTCTGTACAACACACATATTTGTGTGCACAAAAACCAGCTTCTCTGAGTTTTTGGAGAGCAGTCAAGACCTCCTCTTTGTCTGGATCATGCTCCCAGTTTCGCTCGCATGGTGAAGCACAAACTGGCTGACTCAAGATCCGTAAAGCAAGCCTTTGAAGTTCTGGTGTGCCTACACCAAAGTTGCTCCACCAACTCACTAGGTGTTTCCGGTTCTCCATCTATATAAGAGAATCAATCTAAAAAGTTGACAAACAAATAGTTTATACACACCTACTTTGCTGCCTCCGAAGAGAACAAACGGCCAAGTTGTTGATGGAAACTCTGAAACTCGTGCAACAGCTTGTGTTGAAGTCCTCGATCTCCTTTGCAATACAATTCTAGGTACTCCACAAAATCTTCCTGAGCCTCCTGGTCAAGAGGGAGATGAAGAAAAGCTGGGTTTAGAACAAAAGCAGCTCCATACGGAACTAACAAGCTGCTTTCCGACCTCCCTCACCATGATCCTCCATCATGAACCTGTTGATCTCCTTGACCTCTTCCTCGGCTAAAATCCTAGTCTCAACAGCCTCTGAAAGCTTCTCATTCATCCAGTCCATAGCCTTGAAAATGAGACCGGAAGTTGCCCCCTCCCGGTCCGCAAGCTTCAAGACCTTGAGGAGCGGTCCAAGCAGCACCAACAAGTGCTGGCACCTAGTCCAGAAAGAGTTCGGAGTCTCTTCTAAGATCCGAGTTCAAATGCGCTGGGCTTTGGCAGTCTTCGTGACGTCCAATCGCTGCCACTCGGAGCTCACAACCATCTCCTTCAATGCCTCCAAGGTCGTCAGATTCAGGAGTTGAGACATCACTAGAAACATGTAAGCGAACCTTGTGCTCGCTGGCTTGATGAGATCCCGATTGCTCAGCTTCTGAAACAACGCCAGAACATGAGGTTTTTTGGTGATAAAAGTTACCACCTCGTTACAGCATTTCACCAGTGGTTTTACCCACGACAAGCTCCCAATGTCTTCAAATAGAAGGTCCAAGACGTGGCACACACACCGGCTGTGGAGAATGTGAGGATACTCAGCTGTCATGAGTTCTCCCATCTGCACACAGTTTGATGCATTGTCAGTGATCACTTGAACAACGGTTTCTTTGCCAACTTCTTGAATCACTTTCTTCAGCTCGACCCAAATCCACTCTCCCATCTTTGTCCTGCCCTCGGAATCTACAGACTTCAAGAAAACCGAACCCTGGACGTTGGAGGCCATGAAGTTGATCAAGGATCGGCTATGGTTGTCAGACCAGGCATCAGTGACGATGCTAACTCCATATTTTCTCCACCCCTCACAGATTGGATCAAGTCGAGCATTGACACTATTATAAAGCTTCTTCAGCTGTGTACTCCGCAGCTTCTCATATCCCATCATTTGTGCAAGAGCTCCAGGGCTGAAGTCCATAGCAGCTTGAAGCAACTTCCTCAAATTTGGCTTCCGAATGGTGTTGAAAGGGATATTTTCAACGTAGAAGAACTCGGCCATGGCATCATCCAGACATTGAACCTTTGCAAACTTCATCATCTTTCAAATGTCACCATCCAATGCCGGTGCAACACTTCGTTTAAGACTGCTGCTCCTGGAAAGTGGAACGCTGCTGCTGCTCACCTCACCCAGCCCTCTGGTAGCCCCACCACTTGCCCTGTAGCTGGCACCACTGCTCAACCTCAGTCTCGTGAGCTAAGGCAAGTCTCTCTTGGGGATTTGGAGTTCTTCGTGAGCTCCACACGATTAAAAGATGCCCAAGCCTTGTTCACCACCTCCAGTGGCACCTGTCCTGTACAAATCTTTACATTCCTTCCTTTCACACCCCCAAAGTGAGGGCAAACTTGTTCAGCCATGCCAGTGTAAGTATTCGAGCAATACTTACACTTCCATGGACTCATGCCGTGGTTTGTCTCGGATGTCAGCCTCTGTTTCAGAACATGGAGCCCAGCTCCAGCATGGCTGCCTCCGGATCCCATGAACCCTGATTTTACATGAACCCTAATCCTAAGTGCATATTTAGGGTTTTTTTAAAATATTTAAACGCCGTATTATACACGCCTTTTAAATGGCATTTTTTATTAATCGTACTGTTCGAATGCAAGTATGTTTGGGATGTCGATCGGCTGGACAATATCACTCACCATCATCACTCCTGCCAAGATCACACACAGCACAAGCAGAAACTCCGCTCAAATCTGCCTCTCTCGATCGCCAGCCCACCTTTGAACATGGTCATTTGGCAAAGAGGTCGCCACTAGAGACAGTGAGCAAATTGACTATTTCGTTTAGAGTTTTCGTTCGATGATAGGATCAATGCGAGGTATGGATGTCGTGTAGGCTGATGTTTTCTCAATTTCATTGGCGCTTGTCCTTCTCTGCGAGCATTTATAATAATTCTTCTTCTCAGGATACTTGGGCTGACGTTGCTTCGTGAGAGAACATTGAGAAGAATGGTTTACGAGGAGGAGGCGAGTATGGATGTCTCTCGAAACTTGCGAGAATTTGTACTCGTGTTTTTAAGCTTATGAACACTTGGGCTGAGGTTAGATCTGCTTTGCTTTGTGAGAAAACATTGAAAAGCTTCAGGAGGTACCGGAGGAGGCGATCTTGGAGCTGACGCAAATGGGGAGATGAAGCCTGTGTCCCCGATCGCCATCCAGGAGGAGCTCCCCAAAACTGGGAGCCGAAGAGGTGACTAGAGCCTTGAGAGTGAGCGTCAACTTGACCAATTGTCCACCGCGCACGGAGAAACTCGATGGTTGTACCGTCACTGAGACCCCGGCGGGGACGACCAATGTAGCATTGTAAGCCTCGTCCCTCTCGCTCACGCTTGTCGCGATTCTCACCACAGATCTGGCGCCATTGAGGCTCGCGATACTCACGTATGGAGTGTTAAGATCCGAGGCAAAGCTGGAAGAAATGCTGGCGGCAGCGGTGGTGTTTGAGGAGGACGAAGAGGGTGACGATGGCGATGACAAGCAAGACGATCCAGTCGCGGCTGACACTGTCGAGTTGCTGAGAGCCGGAATGGAGCACAAGAACTGGATGTAGTCTCGGAATCCTGGCAGCAAAAACGCCTTAGTCGAGACGAACGCGATCGAATAGAAAAACTCACCGGCATCGAAGATCAAGCCAGGATCAATCGCCGCTGCGGGATTCACAAAACCGGCTCCAAAGTCGAATGGGGTGGCCGGGCCGAGAATGGAGTCGACATTGCTCGAGGGGTGCTGTGCGAGTAGTGGCTGGCCATTGGAGTCGAGAGTGAGAGCGGTGGTGGACATGGCCGACGCGATCCCGGCGGGGCTGAGCGACGGGAACCGCTGCTTGACGAGCGCCGCGATGCCGGCGATGTGGGGCGTGGCCATGCTCGTCCCGGAGATGAGTGCAAACTCCTGGCCTTCGAACTCCCGCTCGTCACTCCCGATCGAGGACCACGCCGCCCAGATGAGGTTCCCGGGAGCCAGGATGTTGGGCTTGAGCACATCAGCCACGTCCAGGTTGTTGCTATTCACGTCCGGGCCCCGGGACGAGTACGTCGCCACCTTTGGTGCCGAGAAGCTGAAAAGAGCTTCGCGGCCTCCTGCTATGGTGGCCATGGCCGCGGAGCTCGAGAGCCTGCCTGACTCGTCTCTTCTCGTGGACGTGTTGTAGTAGTGGAGCAACACCTAGCGGCAAATGCAGTGAGATAGTTAAGATCCAAGAAAGGTGGCGGATGAACTTTACCGCGGAGTCTTTGGAGCTGGGGATGATGATCGCCGGGAAGCCGATCGGGGACGGCGGGAAGCTGTGGCCGTCGAGGTCGGGCGTGGCCAGAAACACAAGCCCGGACGCTCTGAGCGCTTGCGCGGCCACAACCGCGTCGGCCAGCGTCGACACCCCGAACAGATACCGCAGGCTGTAGCTGCACACGAGAATCCTGCCGCTGACGAGCGACCTGTTGTAGTTCCCGGCGTCCTGGCACTCATCGACAAGGATCCTGGACACATTCCCATTGGTGGCATCTGCTGCGGTGATAAGGCTGAAGCTGCCATTTGTCCCGGCTGCAAACAATACCCAGAAAGCCCCACATTACATCAGCTGGCAAGCATGGCACGTCAACGGAGCAGCTGGCGGGCACAAAAAAGGTGGCGGAGGGGCAAGATAACGACGAGGAAAGCCACAGAAGGCAGTACACTTGCGTGTATCTTACATGCGAGGCCGGTTCCCGTGATGGTGATGTTGCTCCCGAGGGTGATGGCGTTTGGGTAGGTCCTGTCGTGGGTGGCCGCTGCTACGGAGAATATCCAGGGGCTGAAGGACAGGCTGGTCCGGGGATACGGTCCCCCGTTTCCAACAGCCTGGGTTACAAACACGCCCGCCTTGACGGCCGACAGCAGCGCCAGGTCGAAGGTGCTCATGAATGTCAAGTTCCGGCGTGGGAGCCCGTTGGGCCCGACTGAAAGGCTCAGCACGTCCACTCCATCGGCAACAGCCTGATCGATCACACAAAGCAATGTGACGAGAAATGGAGGAAAACGAAGAGAAACGAGGCAGGAGAACGACCCAAGTTGAACGAAACAAAGAAACCCGTGAGCTTGCAAGTTGCTATAGCGAGCGAGCTTACTTGATCGATGGCGGCGACCACGTCCGCGAAGAAGCCTCCAATGTATCGGTAGAGCGCCTTGTACACCGCGATTCTGTATGAAAGCCCGAGATGTTTAAGTCGTTCTTTCTTCGCTCGACTTACTTTGCCGCGGGTGCCATGCCGCTGGAGCTCCCAAAGTTGAAGCCATTGACGACAACCGAGACGCCGCTATTCCCAGCAGCAGTAGCAGCAGTGTGGCTGATGAAGAGAAGAAAGAGCGCGATGATCAAGTGATATGTGATCATAGAGCACAAACTTACGTGCCATGTCCATCTCCATCCAGGGGCGACGCGTAGTGAACGCTGGCGTTGAACTCCCCGGAAGCAATCGCGGCCTGCGCAAAGTGCCGGGCTCCAACAATCTTCCCCGAGCAGGAGCCTTGCGGGAATTCGTTCGCAACCTCGCATTTCCCAGTAAACTTAACTGGACTACTGGAAGATGATTTCGTGGAAGACGAAGAGGATTTGAAGCTCTGGTGGGAGGGGTCAATGCCGGTGTCGACGATTCCAATCACCACTCCCTGCCCAGCATTCGCGACGCCTCCCAGCTTTGGCCAGCACTTCCCGGGCAGTCCCATGTACTCCGGGGTGTGAGTGGTCATCGTCTGGACTCGCTCGTCTCGCTCGACGTGGACAACGTCGTCCATTCTCTCCAGCCGCGCTGCCTTTGATCAGAAGAGAGTTTTACCGCCTTCGATCGCTGGGATGACATGAGTTTCTTACCTGTGTTTCAGTCAGCTCCACCGCGAATCCATTGATCAAGTGGTGATAGCTGTAGAGCTTCCGGTAGCTCTTCTCGCCTGGAAAGGCCTTGGCGAGAAGTTCGTCATGCCGCGCGACGAGCAGCGAGGCGTAATTCTTGTCCTCGTCACTGCAAAAACCAAAGCTCTGTGATCCATCCGCAAGGAAAACCAATCCTAGCAATCAAAGCTTTCTTATTCACGTTCCATCGAGAAAGATTGTTTCGATCGCTATACCTGAGAGCATTGTTGATTCTTTGCTTGCTCGATGTCGCAGGAAATCCGGGAATGCCTCCTTGATAATGAACGACCGGCCTCCCTCTCACAACCACCAGGTAAACCTTCCTCTCGTTACTCTCGTTACGCTCGTACTCGTGCTTTAAATGCTCTCGTTCTAGAATGCCGATGGCTGGAGGGACAAGAGTAACGAGAAAGAGTAGCGGCAGTAGCAGCTCTCGAGGAGCTCCCATGATATCAGAAAAAAGAGAGGAAAAGAGATGGATCAAATCGTGAGACTAGAGCACGAGCAAATTCCCGCGATTTAAACTTCCTACAGAGGCATCGTATGTGACAATCGCCATAGTTTTATGGTGGTGCTGGTTCCACTGAGGCAGAAAAAATGGAAAGGAAAGCTCCACTATGACAAACACCGGGAAGAGCATTGAATGAGAGAAGAGGAATATATACACAGGAATGGATAGATGGATGGAGCAATCGCGAGCGATCGGAGTCGAGACCGGTGTACACTGATCTTAATGAATATATGAGAGAGAGAGAGAGAGAGAGAGAGAGAGAGAGATCTTCTCACTCCCTATCGCTGTCCTCCTTTCTCGTCTCACTGTGCGCGCGCGGGTCTATTAATCCAACAACAACAAGAACAGGGGAAGGAGTGACACACGCACAGCTTTTGAGGGGATTGTCGCTTTTGGTTCGGACAAATCGATTCCAGGAGCAAGCCCTTTCGGCCAATTTGATTATAGATCGATCCATTATCTCGGAAATGGAGGGAGAGGAACATGGAATCATCTTGGCATTTCGCCTTTCAAAATCTGATCTCCATACAAATCGCAGAGAGAATAAAAAGAAAGAAATCTTGACTGAGAAGCCAGAGCTTTTCTTTCACACCCGTGCTTGGCCGGTCCTGCCCAAACTCTGCCATGACAAAGAAACACCAGCCATAGCTAACAGAGAGAATAGGATATGGATATCAAAGAAAATCAAAGAAAAGAGCGAGAGAGAGAGAGAGAGAGAAAGTAAACTATAAGATTGAAAGGAATGTCGGCTGAAAACAATTCCCATTTGATCATTCACTATAGAGGAGAGATCTTTGTTCTATCTCCTAGGATTTCGAATCACGAATTATTCGTGGCCCTTTGGGCTGTGGAAAAGATCACGCAAAACAAAGACGCGCGCTCGAATCCATCGCTCGTACCAATGCAGAGAAGAAAAACCACCATGTAGAAAAAAGAGAGGAGCGCTCATTCCAATTGGTACCACCCAGATTTGTCAAAGAGCACGATGTCCGAGAACCCTAAACAGGGGACTCTGTTTTTAGGGCTTACTTGGCAAGGCCATCTCCCAGCCGTCCGATGCCCAGTCGTCTTCCAGCGCGTGCTCGCGAGAGGCGGCGATGGAATGAGTATAACCAAACACTCCCGGACACATACCATCATCTCATTCTCTGGAAGAAAATTCCTTACAAGATCTACAGCCAAGGAGAGAAAAAAAAATACCACTTTGATTTCGATCCTTGTGAGGCAAGAAGAAACGTTTAGTTTTCCTCCTCCCAAGTGGACATGGTAGCTTTGCATTCTTTCGCCTTGGAACGAACTCTTGAAAGGAAACTTGGAAACTTCTCTTAGAACTCAAACGGCTTGTAGCGCCTGGACGAGCTGATGATTCCCTGTACCGATCCCACGGCCGCGGACAGCGAGACGAGGAAGCACACAAAGCTCAAGCTCTGGAGTGCCATAGCCTTGCACGACCACCTCCGCACGCCCGACTGCTTCGAGTACATCTCCACCGGGAAGTAGACGGTGAGCGGCCAGAAGGTGATGGCTCCAACCAGGCCGATGACGGCGTTGAAAAACGGGAACACGAGCGAGACAATGGTCGTGAAGAGCACGAACAAGGTCCGCCAGAAGAGCTTGAAGATGGTGAACCTGAAAACTCCAATCCTCGGGGTGAGCACCGTTACGGAGTATTCCCTGTTTACGAGGTTCGACTTTGGCCACTTCTGGGAGGCGTACCATTCCCCCAGCGCGAACACTGGTTGAGCATATACCTGTCAAGTCGGGAGAGCGTGTTAGAAAAAGGAATTTGTTCTCCAGCTTTGAAAGCCAGGAAAGCTGAGGTTACGTTACCTGATAGCCGCCGACGAGATGGATGATGATGCAGATGTTCGCAAAGTCGACAAGCCAGAACAACTTGCTGTGCGCGAATCCGGTCAAGAGATTTCCCGGAGCATCGTTTCCAAAAGCTGCGTAGCCGACGCAGCCGACAGCCATGTAGAATATGGTGGTGACGAGAACACCGATTGACGTAGCTCTCTTCATGCTTACGTTCTCGGATGGGGGCGACTTGAGTGTATCCTGTCAGACAATCAATCAAACCCACTTGAGTTCGAAAGGAAAAAAATGCTCTGACTGAACACAAATACTTGAATCTCGATAAGGATGGATGAGAACGAGTAAGCAAAAGCAATATTCCCAAGCGCCTGGAGTATACCCCAGACTTTATCAGCTGAGCTGACAGAGTGCGGTCCAGGTCCAATGCCAATCCCAAATGCGGTACCTTGAGTTCCATCTGAATCACGAAAACATGAGTAAAGAATCAGCGCAAACGTGTTTCGCTCTACTTACGTACTGCTTGACCAGCGCTGAGACCCAGCCCGACAAACGAATACGAAAAAGACATGATCGACGCGACGATGGAAAGCCACCAAATCTGGTGTATGTCTGGTATCTGCGAGAAGAGGAGCTGAGCAGCTCCGAAAACGAGCAAGTACCTCCCGTCATGGATGTTGCACGATGATGGATTGCTTAGGTGCCGGTTATGGCGTAAACAGTGACCTTTGCTAATCGCCACCATGCTCTTCCCAGAAGTTATGGTGTATCCAATAGTAGCACCGATGAGATTGCCATACTGGGCGAGACCGCAAAACCATTCTTGCCTGCCACCTAGAAGCACAACCAAAAGAAAAAAAAAGTTACTTGGGAACAAAAGAACTATAGAACTTTAAGCTCACCCAAGATGTTCTTGACGGCATCAATGTAGGTAGTGTTCCTTCTCCCAAAGGCCGGGTCTGGGCTCCTGTAGCAATCCGCGAGGAGCAAAGACGCATAGAAGGTCACGATGGAAAAAATAAATAGAATAGCTGGGCCGGGAACCCATCCAAACTGGGCGATGCTCCATGCAAGGGACAACACTCCGGATCCAATCACGGCAGTGATTACATGAGCGGAGGCAGTGCAAACGTTCCCTGCGCAGAAAGCCCAGATCTTTAGACGCCATGCAAAGCCCAAAGAAAAAAAATGGAAGCTATGCGAAAACTAAAGGAAAAACCCTTTCTTGCTCGCTCGATCCCCATACCTGTGCGCTCCACTTGTTTCTCGCTGCCTCCGGCGCCGCCATGGAATCGCATGTCGATGCTGGCCTCGGCGCCATTCGGGAGAGAAGAATCCAGCCCCGCGGTCATGTTGCTGCTGCTAGAATCCACTGTGCCGCGGAATGGGAACTACTTTCGATCGATCGCTGGCCTAGTTCCCTCAGAATAGCGCGCTCGCGGCGGAATCTAGCTCCCCTCCCATTCTTTCTCCTCCCTAAAATAAGCGGCAGCCCTAAAATCACACACTTTCTTGGAGTTTGAAAGATATATGGGAGGGAATGATGAAAGCGCGGCGTAACCGCCACGTGTCATCACACAACTGGTGACGAGGAATGAGACGTACACGCCCCGCATGACGTGGCGCGATCGAGGCCGTTAAAGACCCATGCATAACTGTCACGTCTTGCCCTTTCCATGTCATGAGGACGAGCCTTTTGTTTCCATCCGACGGTTGGGCTCTTGCCAGCTAGGAAAATAGAATGCCGCGTCAGCACGGTTTGACTTGACTAGAATGGACTCGAGTCCATTATCGCCACTTGCAAAGATTATTCCACCCTTACATTGTTGCAACGTTTTATACTAGAATAAAAGAAAGTGAAAATAGTTTATAAGGAATCCCACTATCATAGAAAAGGTGGAAACGTGATCGAAAACCATAGAGATGGGGCGGATTCCATTAGACCAGTCCCAAGAAACGTGTAACATAGGTAACAACAGAGTGAATCTTGGTAACGTGTAAGCTTTGGGTGGGATCACACTTCCGGATCCGGAAACTGGAATGTTTTCATCGAGATCTCTCATTCGATGATCATGCAACGCGGAAAAGGCACCTGGAAGAATGTCAGCTTTGATTCTTCTCAATCTAGATCTCTAAGTTCGTCGAAGAAGCTCCGCCCAAAATCACACGCTAAAATCATATGAAAATTTTGCTTTTTTTTTCGAGGTTGCAAAAGATCTTGGAAGAGCTTCGTCAATCACTAGATTCAGTTCATGAGCAAATCGTGCCGGACGGAAGAATCGATTGGATGATCAAGCCGACATAAAGTCAAGCAAGGTCTGCTCCACGCCAAGACGTGCTGCGGCGGTGGATCTGCGCGAACGAGCTTTACGACTGGTCTAAAAGTTGCGAGTGCTCCCGAAGAGAACCAATCAATCAATCACCAATGGATCGATCCACTGGGATGAAAACGCCATGGTTCTAAGATCGAGGCGAAGTTTGCACTACTTGCTTCTTCCTTTTCTAGATCTTTTCCCTTTGGGCAGCTTTGTTTGAAGGAATCTACGCAGCCGACGACGGAAGAGCACGGTCGAAAACTTTTTCTGTGAGTAAAAAATTCCATTGATCCGCTTGTCCAAGATGCCCTGGGACACAAACACCACGGAGAGAATGACAAGTTTCACGAGAGAGAGAGACAGAGACACAGAGAGAGAGAGAGAGAGACAGAGACACAGAGAGAGAGAGAGAGAGAACAAAACTGATCCTCTCTCTCTTTTGTCAAGCAAGGAGCTGGAAATTTGGCATCTGGCACTGTGCGGTCACACAGTGTCGAGGGAGAACACTAAAGAACACACCTTTTCTAAAAAGAATGTGGATTTCCCCGATTATTGACTTGATTGACAAGAGATTTTGTGTCCAGAAGCTTCAGATGGTCGGTGTTGGCCATGGTTTAGGTTATTTCTTTGCCAACTTTAAGAGTTTTTTGGAGCTCGGAGCTATGATTCAAGCCACCATGCCCGAAAAGATTGGAGGTCACGGTTCGTTTGCGGTTGCCTTTGGGAACACTTGAAATTCGAAGTGCTCATTTGTCTCCTATTCTTCCACGATGATTCTCGAAACCATCTAAGCAAAGATAATCAGAGCTACCACCCAAAAAGACGAGTCCACTTGGGACGGTGGTGGAATTTCCCCTCGTTTGTTTTCAAGCAAAACTATAACTCTCTCTCTCTCTCTCTCTCTCTCCCACACACTCTCCAATGCGGTGATCCCAAAAGCTGGGAGCCAGATTCGCAACACCTATGTAAATATTCGCGAACTTGCGAATATGAGATTTGCATTCTAGAGCTTTTGAGTTGATTCTCTTCTCTCTCTAGGACGCACATACTTTTTTATGCCTGCCACGGGTTGACGACGTGTCCAGCCCTATTCTTGTCACAGACTGCTAGCCTTCTGCCACATTGTTACAAAGAGTCAAGGAATTCTTCCGTAAGATAAACCTAGAGCGTCTCCAACAAATGGTGGCGGGCACGCGACGTTCAATGGGACGGGGGGGCATTATTGAGGGCCCCAAAATTAGGGCCGGCCGAAGAATTAAATGTGCTCAAATCAGACGCCACCCATGAGTGCCCAGTCGCGGCATTTTGGGAGGCTCGCTCTTTGAAAACCCGTCCGCCGTACGCATTCTGCTACCGTACACGACCGACACCATCCTGCCGTACGCTTTCGTACTCTTCTTCCTCCCCTCTGATGGGTTTTTCTTTGTTTCCAAGAGGCTTCCGAGTGAATGGATTTGGACGGATGGATTCCATCGCGTCTTATTAGCAACAGTGGCGAGTTTTTCCTTTCTCTTAGCGAGGGCCCCAAAATTAGGGCCGGCCGAAGAATTAAATGTCAGTCGCGGCATTTTGGGAGGCTCGCTCTTTGAAAACCCGTCCGCCGTACGCATTCTGCTACCGTACACGACCGACACCATCCTGCCGTACGCTTTCGTACTCTTCTTCCTCCCCTCTGATGGGTTTTTCTTTGTTTCCAAGAGGCTTCCGAGTGAATGGATTTGGACGGAAACAACAGTGGCAACAGTGGTGTTATTAGCAACAGTGGCGAGTTTTTCCTTTCTCTTAGCGTGCTTGATTAATCTCACCTGGGCGTATCGTAGTATAAAAACCCATTGCCCGCCCAGGCCGTAGATAGCAAAGAAGGGAGAGAACTTAGAGAAAGAAGAGGAGAGAATCACCATCGCATTGTCTCGAGTCGTGCTCGAAAGATCTTTGCAGGACAGCACGCGGAAAGTGTGTGGAACTGGATAATCGATTTGGGCTTTTCATGTGATTCCATCGCTTGCTTGCTTGCTTGCTTCCTCACCCATTCCCTGTGTCTTTCGCGAGGAGGCCCAAGAACCCATCGCCTCCTCTCTTTACTCCTACCAATCTCGCATTGATACTGCTGCTTCTATCCTTGCGTGATCCCGCGTGAATCCAGCTAAAGCCTTTTTGGAAAAGATCTGCCTCGCATAGATTTCCTTGTCTCTTCTCCACCGCCCAAGAACGATCGAGTCGAGAGCCCCCAAGAAAACCAAGAAAACAAGGAAAGAAACGACCAATGGCTGTTGGAATGTTTCCTCCTTCGCACGATGAGAGAATCTCTTACGCTGAGAATGGTCACAAGCTCGGATCTTTGGAGCTCCAGCAGCAGCAGAAAAACGTCGACGACGATGGACGTCCATGCCGCACAGGTGGAGAATCCATCCTCCCTGTTCTTCTTCCTGCTGTTCCTCTCTTTCCTGTCAATCCCTTCCATCACTTTCGTTGTCGGCAATCAATCCCCTCCTCTTTTTGTTTCTTCCTCGCTGAAAAGAAAAGTTCTTCGTTCTCGGCGACTCATGAAGATCTTTCGTTTGTTTCCTTGTGCTTCTTCTTCTTCCAGGAACTGTGTGGACAGCCTCGGCCCATGTCGTGACCGCCGTCATCGGCAGCGGAGTTTTGTCCCTGGCGTGGAGCATGGCCCAGATTGGCTGGATCGCTGGCCCCGTTGTGCTGCTCATCTTCGCCGCCATCACCTTCTTCACGTCGCTGCTGCTCACGGATTGCTACCGCTCTCCGGACCCCGTCACCGGCAAGCGAAACTACAGATACAAGGACGCCGTCAAAGCCAACCTCGGTGAGATTCTACTCGAAGAGCGTACCTCGTTCACGCTTCCCGACTTAAATGCCTGTTGTTGTGTTGGCTCCTCCAGGTGAGATCCAGCTCTGGTGCTGCGCGCTTGTCCAGTACAGCAACTTGATGGGAACGGCCATCGGTTACACCATCACTGCCTCGATAAGTATGGTGTAAGTTTCCGAAACTCCTCCACCAAAATTGTTTGTTGTTTCGTTCTTCTCGCAAAGTTGGCTGACTCTTGTTGTTGCTCCCAGGGCCATCAATCGATCCGACTGCTTCCACGCCAAGGGCCACAATGGCGCCTGTAACACCTCCAACAATCTCTACATGGCTCTGTTTGGAGTGGTCCAGCTGATGCTGTCACAGATCCCAAACTTCCACAAGCTCTGGTGGCTGTCCATCGTCGCGGCCGTTATGTCGTTCTCGTACTCCGGGATCGGCCTGGGACTCGGCATCAGCAAGATCATCGGTGCGTGGTCCGGTCCTCCTTCTTGCTCTGTTTTTCATAGCCTTCCTTGTTTTCTCTTTTGTCTTCGCCCCGTTCTGGTCGATAAATCTTCTAACGTCGTCGTCGTCGTCGTTGCCTCTTGGAATCGCAGAGAATGGCCATCTCTTAGGATCAGCAACCGGCGTCCCCATTGGTTTGACTCTCGGCAGTGTAACACCCGCCAAGAAAGTCTGGAGAGTCTTCCAGGCCCTTGGCAACATCGCGTTTGCGTATTCTTTCTCCACCGTTCTCATCGAAATCCAGGTAACGCCAACTTCAAACCATCGCAAAAGTAAATGTCCGAGAGCTCATTCCTTGTCACCTTTGTTTGAAAACTCCCAGGACACCATCAAGTCACCACCAGCCGAGAACAAAACGATGAAGAAGGCGACGCTGATTGGGATCATCACCACCACCACCTTCTACTTGTCGGTCGGATGCTTCGGCTACGGTGCCTTTGGAAATGGTGCTCGGGGCAATCTTCTCACCGGCTTCGGCTTCTACGACCCTTACTGGCTCGTCGACTTTGCAAATGCCTGCATCGTTGTCCATCTTGTCGGAGCTTATCAGGTAGGCTTTTGATCGATCGCTTGGTCGTCTTAACGGCGTATGTCGCGCTGAAACGTTACAGGTCTTCAGTCAGCCACTGTTTGAGTTTGTGGAGTCGACTGCTGCGAACAAGTGGCCAAAATCAGGCTGCATCCACACTGAGCACGCCATCCGAATCCCGTTCGTTGGAACCTGGCGAGTTAACGTCTTCCGGCTCCTGTGGAGAACCATGTACGTCATCTTCACCACCATTGCTGCAATGCTGCTTCCCTTCTTCAACGACATCGTCGGTTTGATCGGTGCTGCTGGATTCTGGCCGCTCACTGTCTACTTCCCCATCGAGATGTTCATCAAGCAAAAGCGGATCGAGAGCTGGTCCTGGTCCTGGGTTGCTCTGAAGACCATTAGTGCAGCCTGCCTGATGATATCCATCGCTGCCGGGATCGGTTCTATCGAAGGTATTCTCCATAGCCTCGAAAAGTACACGCCGTTCAAGACCACGTACTGATTGAATGGAAGCGCGAACTGATTGAAGCTGATCGATACTGTATCATACTCTCGCACAGCAGTCTTTAGCAAGAACTGCAGAAGCACACGAAAGAAAAAGTCACAAAGAATTTTGAAGCTCTGGAAGAAATGTCCTAGCTACATGGTGTGTTTATGTAATATCAAATGCTCGCAATTTACCTCAAAAGTCTCCCTGGAAAGTTTTAGCCCGGTTGAAAAATCCCGAAAGGCCTGAGAAGAAAAACAAAAGCTGGAGGCACAGCTAATTTTAAAAAAGAGTTGCCTACCTTTGAAGGACTAGGACCACCGGTTACGAACATGCGCCTCACTTCTCAGGAATCTTTGGCAACAGTGACGAGCATTTTCGGTCCTTCCATACACGGCACTGTTTTGGAACAGGAACACGGGACCACCACCACCATTGATCCACCATTTGATATTCAACTTCGGCGAAGTACCATTGACAAAGCAGCATCATTCAGCAAAGGTCTGCCTGCATCCACAAGCAGACCACAAAACAGTGTTAATGCAAGCAAGGTGAGAATGAGCACTTAGACATTTTTCAATTGGAGAAAACGTACCTGAAGGCTGACACCTGACTGATCATTATTGAAATGATCTGACCCTGTTCAGTTCTGAAATTCAGAACCTGACGCGATCGACAAAAGAACACACCCATTGCTTAAGTTAGTAGTCAACCAAGGCAAGATAAAACATACGTACCGTGTAAGGAATCGAGCCACTTGCAAGTAACCTGGAACTCAAGCATTACCTACCATGGCCTTGTTCCAACAAGTATGATTATTCATTTGCAAATGCGAAAACAAATCCCATTAAAACTCTAGTCTGTCACATGATTGAATAACCTGGACCACCAGCACCTTCGGGCGTTGTCCATTTTATGTTTTGTGGTGGATCCTTTATGTCACAGGCCTGACGTGTCAAAAGTAAGAAAAAGCACGATACCTACTATGAAACTAACGTCTCCCATACCTTACAGTGCAGGCAGTTCTGGGCATTTATCTGAAGTGTGAGCTTCTCATTCTCATCAGGAATGTACCTACAAAAGCCACGGGTAACTTTTCTGATAACTCATGAAACTTGCGCTTACTCGTAGACTCGCGCTGGACAATAGCGCGATTCCAGTCCTGCATAGTCTATCAAATTCACTTTCTCCGGGATCGAGGGGTCCCGGAGAAGAAGGTGCGAAGGCTGATCGTGTTCATGATTTGTGTTACTTCTAGAAGATGAGCCAAACAGTCAGAACACAGCTCCTGAAGTTGAAAAATAGGTGGACTGCACCTGTATAGTGATGTCAGAAGATCAAAAGAGATCACACCGTCCGGCTTGGGATAGTCTATAGGCTTGTGCTTCTTGCTAACCTGGACAACAGATGCATAACACTAGAAACACTTGATAACACAGCTAAATACCTCAGTGGATAAATGATCGGGTCTTCCATGCTTCAAAGTATATGGAAGTTTGCCTTTGGAAATGTAACTGCAAATTCGAAGAATGAGAACTGTGGAAGCAAATCGAAAAAACTTACTGCTCAAAAGCTGAAACTGCTAGACCTGGGAGCAAACCATAATGGAAAGCCTGTTACAAACTTAGGATTAGATTGGTTGTAAGTGAAAAGAATGAGGACAAACCGGTCTTATGTTACGTGCCGCGTTTAACTCATCCCATATCCATGAGTTTTGTAGTCGCTCCCAATAACTATCCAGCTTTGCAGGTTCACTACCTTTTGATAGTTGTTCGAAAGCTGTCTCTGCAGCTAGCAATCCTACAGAGAGAAACTTGAAAATGCCAGTTTAGTGACACGAATGTACCTGATTTCATAGCCGTATGCGCGCCCTTTATTTTTGGAACATTGACGAATCCCGCTGAACAGCCAATGAGTGCTCCACCCGGAAACACAGTTTTTGGAATGGACTATGAAAAAACGATGAACGCCATGGGCTTGTCAAGAATTTTAATGTACCTGAAAGCCACCTTCATTTAGTGTTCGGGCTCCATATTGCACAACTTTGCCACCTTCAAGCATCGGTCTTATGGACGGGTGCTGTTTAAATCTCTATAAATTTTAAGATCAGATTTTGCAGAAGTAGAAACTGAACATATTTCTCACCTGATATTCTTCGTAGGGCGAGAGATATGGATTTTGATAGTCCAACGCAACAACCAGGCCCACTGCAACCTGCCTTGATTTTCTAAGCTTAGTTAAAGCACGTAAGAACTTGAACTTACTTGCCGATTTGCCATATGATACAGAAACGAGCCCCCGTACGTCTTTGTGTTGAGAGGCCAGCCAACTGTATGAAGGACAAAACCAGGACGATGTTTTGATTCCTCGACCTCCCAAACCTGCTTGTAAGCGTAAAACTTTGCAGTGGAGCTTATCATATACCTCCTTAATCCCAAGAGCGTACGTTTGATGCTGGGCACCTGATTGCTTCCTAAGTTGGTACTTGCGAATAACTTCCTGTCACATGAATTACTTCGAGTGCCTTAATACTAATCTACAAATACCTCAGATAGATAGCCTCTGCAACCTTCAGCCAGGAGGGTAAGACGTCCTACACAAATAACAAACAAGAACGTAAGAGGAAGTCCATTTTACGATGATTTTGTGCACCTCTCAACTCCATTCCTTTCTGGAAGGTTGACTTCTTACAGCCGTTCTTCGCAATTCCCATATCGTTAGTCGCAATTCCCACAACTCTGTTGTCGTCGTACAAAACCTGTCAAAGACACAGTAGAAAGTAAGTACACTTGAGAACGAACGAATAATCTCTCTGAAGCGCCTCACCTCACTAGCAGAAAAGCCCGGGTATATTTCCACTCCAAGCTCCTCGGCTTTGGTCCCTAGCCAGCGAACGAGCTGACTTAAGCTGAACAAAAACGATTGCTTCGTAAGAATTATAGACATGTCTCTCTCACCTGATCACGTAATTCCCATGGTTTCTGAATGGAGATGGAAGCGGTATTGCATGCTTACTTGAGAGGAGCCAAAACTTATCTTCCGAGACCGGAATTTCCACGGGAGCCTAGACAAGCGTGACAGTCTTACAAAAGTTTAGAACACAAGCTTACTCCTTGTTTCTTCCAGTCCGGAAAGAGCTCAGTCAAGCTGCGAGGCTCAAAGACATTTCCCGAGAGAATGTGAGATCCTGAAAAACCAACGGTGCGGTCACTCCTCAAAGAAAAGCAAGGAGAAAACAATGACAAGAGAATAGATATGTTACCCACTTCAGCTCCTTTCTCCACGACGCACACGGACAGCTCCCTCTTCTCGCGATCGCAGAGCTGCTTGAGCCGGATCGCCGCTGCCAGGCCGGCAGGACCAGCTCCAACGATCACGACGTCGTAATCCATGCTCTCCCTCTCCTGGACTCCATCCGAGCAAAACCTCCTGGCGCGCCATTCCAGCCGGGCTCCAGCGCCTGAAATTGACCGGGCAGCGAGCGCATTGCTTCCCCGCCTGAGAAGAACCCTAGCCATGGCTCTTTTACAAAAGAAGAAAAGAGATAAAGATTTAGCTTCGGTGCTGACATGTCAGAGGATCCGTGGCGCAATGGTAGCGCGTCTGACTCCAGATCAGAAGGTTGCGTGTTCGAATCACGCCGGGTTCATCTCACTTTTTATGGCAACTTTTAAGCCATAAAAATTGGGAACTTACTAAAAAGTTGAAATTCACCATGCGTTGGTTTCATGGTGTAGTTGGTTATCACGTCAGTCTAACACACTGAAGGTCTCCAGTTCGAACCTGGATGAAGCCATTAATTTTTGCGTGATTTTTCTTCATACAGAAAGAATTTTTCAAATCTGCGTCCACAAGCAATTAAGAATTTTGGGGTTTAGCTTCAAATCTTCGGCCACCAATCCAGCACAAGCAATTGAAAAGCTTGGAAATTCCATGTGAGCGACAGACAATCTTTCCTCGATCTCGGCACATTGGCCTTGAAAAATTTCACCATAGATTTATATAAACTATGGAGTTCCTAAGCTTGAATCAACAACAAGGATGGCATTGCAACTCCAATTGAAGCTCCTTGTCACAATCATCGCCTTGTCGAGTACTTCATCGATCCAAGCACTCCGAAGTGCTGATTACCGTGACGCTCTCTCCAAATCCATCCTCTTCTACGAGGGGATGCGATCGGGCAAGCTGCCATCCAAGCAAAGAGCCAAATGGAGAGGAGATTCGGCACTCAACGATGGACAAGCACAAAATGTATGCGTTTCTGAGATCCTGCTCGTTTTATAAGAAGCTCTACTTGATCTCTTTGGTTGTTCTCTTCAAGGTGGTTCTCCGAGGAGGCTACGTCGACTCTGGAGACAACGTAAAGTTTGGATTCCCCATGGCATTCACGATCACCATGCTTTCATGGAGCGTGATAGAATCCGGCAAGCAGCTCAAGCGAGCGGGGGAGCTCCAAAACGCCCGCGACGCTATCCGCTGGGGGACGGACTATCTCCTCAGGGCCTACAAGCCCCCAAACACGCTCTGGGTCCAAGTGGGCGATCCCTACTCCGATCACCAGTGCTGGGAGAGGCCCGAGGACATGGACACGCCCCGGAACGCCTACAAGATCGATCAATCCGCGCCCGGATCCGACGTCGCGGCGGAGACAGCCGCAGCGCTCGCCGCCGCCTCGATCGTCTTCCAGTACGCGAAGCCGGAGTACTCGCGCCAATTGCTCAACGCGTCCAAACAGGCAAGAACCCTAAAAAGCAGAGCCCCTGCTTTCGCGCTAAGTTTAAAATTTTAAAATTCGGGGCCCTTTTAGGTTTTTGATTTCGCGGACAAGTTCCGGGGGAGCTATAGCGATGCTCTGGGCGGAGTTGTGAGCCCTTTCTATACGAGTTACTCGGGATATAGAGACGAGCTCTTGTGGGGCGCTGCTTGGCTCTACCGTGCCACCGGCGATGGGAAGTATTTGCAGTACATTGGCCTGCACCAAAACGAGCTGGGAGGCCCTTGGACATCCTACAGTACTCTCAGCTGGGACAACAAGTATGCTGGTGTGGATGTCCTCTTGGCAAAGGTTGCTAGAAACCCTACAATCTTCTTCTATCTTCACTGGAAAATGCTGATGCTGATCTTATCATATAGGTGTTTTTGGGAGGAAACCAGAACTGGCTTGCGGCTTACAAGGACCGTGCTGATGATTTCGTGTGCTCGGCCATGCCTGGACGAGCCAGGCTCACACCAGGTCCATCAAAATCAAAACTATCTACAATGGCAATTTGATGAGAATCGTATGTATCATAACAGGGGGGCTATTCTACCAAGGCACAAACAATCTCCAATATGCTACGAGCAACGCATTTCTGCTCATCACGTATGCAGGATACCTGAGCAGCGCTAAACAAAGTGTCAGGTGCGGGGGAGGAGGTAGCAATTTCAAGCCAAATGAGCTGATCACTTTTGCAAAAAGACAGGTATAGTGTGTCTCTCAAAATTGTTCCATGCTATGCAGGTTTATTTATATCATTATTATCGTTGCTATCATTCACACACAGATAGATTACATCCTAGGCAACAATCCGCGGAAAATGTCCTACATGGTTGGGTTCGGGGCAAAGTTCCCCCAGCACGTCCACCACCGCGGTTCATCGCTCCCCTCGATACACGCACAGCCGCAACGCATCTCGTGCAAAGATGGATTCAACTGGCTGCACACTCCAAATCCCAATCCAAACTTGCTCATTGGCGCTGTAGTCGGAGGCCCTGATCAAAATGATAACTACGCAGACAATCGCGACGATTATTCGCAGTCCGAGCCTTCAACTTACATAAATGCTGGTCTTGTGGGTGCATTAGCCTACTTCACTTGAAAATAAAATTCATTTAAATGGCTAACACATAAATTAATATCTAAAATCAAAACCAATTGTTTTTCTAAATTAATGTATCTTGAGGATATACTTAAAAGGATATGCTCTCGGGATCTAGGGTTCTTGGGTAGCGCAGCACAATGTGGGGTGGGAAGCAAGGCTATGACTACGACATCGAGAGCGGCGGTTTGTATCCGGGCCTCTCTGCCGACGACAGCACGCTGCGCTGGGGCTTCATCCGCAAGGTCTATGGAATTCTCACCACCCAGATCGTGCTCACCGCCATCGTCGCCAGCGTCGTCGTCTTCTCGCGCCCGGTGGCGATGTTCTTCGTCACCACGCCCGGATTGCCGATCTTCCTGGCCTTCCTGCCTCTGATCCGTGAGTTTTCGGGAAATATTTCGCCAGGTTTTCGAGTGATTTGATTCCTGTGTTTCGCAGTTTTGTGCGTGATTCATCCCTATCGCCAGAGCCATCCCATCAATCTCATCTTGCTGGGGATCTTCACGGTGTGCCTGAGCTTGCCGGTTGGAATTTCGTGCGCGTTCACGCGAGGTAAGTTCTTGAAAGTTCTAGAACTTGGATTTCTCACAGCTTAGCTTAAAAAATTGGCACAGGGGATATCGTGTTGGAAGCTTTGATCCTCACGGCCGCCATTGGATTTGGGCTCACTGCCTACACATACTGGGCTGCAAAGCGAGGCCAGGACTTTAGCTTCTTGGGGCCATTTCTCTTCGTGGCTGTGATCATCCTCATCTTGTGGGGACTCATTCAGGTACTTGGTCGATGCTTTTGATCGAATTTCTCTCCTTTCTCACGCGTTTTCCTTGCAGTCGTTCTTCCCGATTACCAGTCTCGGCACGAGCATCTACGCCGGGATTGGAGCGCTGATTTTCAGCGCCTATATCGTCTACGACACGGACAATCTCATCAAGCGCTTCGACTACGACGACTACGTCTGGGCTTCCATCGCACTCTACCTCGACATCCTTAATCTCTTCCTCGCATTGCTCCAGCTTCTCCGGCAAAGCGATTGAAAGCATATAGTGTAAATAATACTGTCTTTGAGAAAATGAAACTCTTTTAGTGAGCATATGCAAAGACGGGCAAATGACGCAAAGCTTTTGTTTGAAGATGCGTTTGCCACAGCTCTCAAAGCTTGTGGGGAGTCCAAAGACATTGCAAGAGGCCGCGATCTCCATGGCCAAATTGTGGCCAGTGGCCACAAATCGAATGCGTACCTGGCCAATATGCTTGTTAACATGTACGGCAAATGCGGGCAAGTGCGAGAAGCCAAGATGGTCTTTGACGGGATTGAAGCCCCAAACATATGTTCTTGGAATATCCTAGTCGCGGCATATGCCCAAAACGGGCATCTGTATCAGGCAAAGCATCTGTATGATTCCATGCGTCGCAAAAACGTAGTGACATGGACGACGATGGTATCTGCGTCTTGCGAACACGGGTCTCTAGACAACGCAAGCGAGTATTTATACCGGATGCCGGAGTGGCACGTCATGGCCTGGAACTCAATGCTCACAGTATATGCCAGATGCGGGTATCTGGAACAGGCGATAGAACTGTTTGAGAATATGCCACACCCGAGCACTGCAACGTGGAATCTCATGATGCTCATATATTCCCAAGCCGAGCTCCCATTGGAGGCCAAATCCACGTTTGACAGGATGTCCGAACGAAACGTGGTGAGTTGGACGACCATCCTTGCCACCTGTTCGCAAAAGGGCTACGTGAACATCGCGGTGCAGCTCTTCGAGCGAATGCCAGCGCGGAATGTGGTGACGTGGAACTCTCTGGCCATTGGCTATGATCATGCCGGACACGTCACACTCGTGGAGGAGATTTTCCTGCTGATGCCGCAGAGAACGACGGTGTCGTGGAACGCGCTCCTCCACGCGTTTTGCCAGCATGGCTCTCCCTGCCACGTGGAGGTTATATTCGCTAGGATGCCTTCGTACGATTCTCTTGCTTGGAATACAATGTTGATGGCATATGCCCAAGGTGGGGATATGCTCTCGGCTAAAGATTTGCTCCAGAAGATGCCACACAGGGATCTTGTGTCAAGCAACATTATCATACAAGCTTTTGCATCTAATGGATGTTTAGACGAATCTACTTCCGTATTTCTTACGATGCCACAAAAAAATGTCATTACTTGGAATACTATGATTACAGTATATGCCCAAAAAGGGGATACTCAGGAAGCAAAGATACTTTTTGATCGGATGCCACAGTGGGATATTCTGTCGAATAACGCAATGATACAGGTCTTGGCGCATGCAGGTCGGGCCACTGAGTCAAAGATAATCTTTGAGTCGATGCCCGATACCAATGTTGCGACTTGGACTTGCATGATTTCTGCAAATGCCGGAGTTGGGAATCTCGAGGAGATGTGGAGATTGTTTTCTCTTGTGGAGCAGAAAGATATTGTTTGCTGGAATGCTCTAGCTGGTGGACTTGTTACTGCAATGCAAACCTTCAAAGCAAAAGAGGCCTTGGATAGAATGCCAAGTTGGAATGTCGTGGCGTGGAACACTGTAATGTCGGCCTATGCCCGAGATGGGTATCTGACAGATGCGAAGAGAATGTTCCTCTCGATGCCTTTCCGCGATCACCTTGCATGGTGTGTTCTTCTGACTGGCTATGGCGATTGTGGTGAATTTCTCGAATCAGTTCAAGCCTTCAATCGAATGCCCTTGCACGATGTGGTGTCATGGAACGTTATGATCTCAGTCTATGCTCTTAATGGGTGTCTTGTGCAAGCAAAGAGTATATTTGACAGAATTCTGGAACACAATCTTTCATCGTGCACTACAATGATGGTTGCATTTTCCGTAAATGGTCATGTAAGCTGCGCCCGTGAAGTATTCGAAAATATGCCATGGAAAGACCAGCGGTCGTGGACGGCCTTGATCGCAGTACTTGCCAGAAACGGCCATATGCAAGATGCAATTAATGCGTTTCAGTCCATGAATCTCGAAGGGATTTCACCGGACGAGATCACTTTTATCGCAATCCTGAGCGGTTGCAGCCACGCGGGGAAGATCATTGATGCTCGAGAACACTTCCTGCTAATCCAACCAGACTTTGGGATTGACCCAATTGTGGATCACTACAGGTGCATGGTTGATCTGCTTGGGCGGGCTAAGCGGCTGGAGGAGGCCGAGAATCTTATCCAGTCCATGCCATTTCTTCCAGATGCGGTGGCATGGACAACTCTGTTGAGCGCTTGCAGGCTCCATGGAGATGTGACTCGTGGCAAGCGAGCTGCAGAGCACATACTTCGCTTAAGCAAATCTCTTGCAATTTAGTCTCTGGATCGGGTTCTTTGCACATCCAAGTCATTGTCTATAGAAGGCAAGACAACTATCACCTCCCTTTGCTGCCAGCTTCTTTATGCGATGTAGGTCTCGATCACCTTGTTGGCAATGAATGTCATAAACCTGACATTTTTTGCTGGAACTTGTGTCTATATTTTATGGTGTCACATTAGCTTGCCACCCAGCTGAGATTTGGAAACGACACTTCATCTCAGACAATTCTCATTCACGTTCTCCCTAGTCAATTCTTCGGGAAAAGAACAAAAACTGTGACATTCTGGCCAACTGGTACATTATGATTCTATTGGCTTTGTTTGCTAGTCTTGGTTCAAAATAAATTTCGCCTGCATATGCATTCGCATTCCAACTCCTGCATTGCCTCTCAGCCAGCCATCCAGTCTCTACAAGATGAAGGCCGTCTTTGTGGCATTGGTGATTTCATTTCTTGTGGTTTGCAGTCTTGGGGATGCTGAGTTTGTTGTTCGTCAAGCAAACCAAGGTTCTTTTTATGCATTTGACATGGTCTTCTATGGGACTCTTGCCAACATCTCTTCTTTGCTTGTTGTTGTTGCTGCAGCACAAGATCGATGCAGGTGAGGAAGTTCGAATTGATCACATGTTTGTGCTACTATAGCCTTTCGTTTGGTGTTGCTCCAGGTGGTGGCTCCGTGGTATTCTGCCATGCCCAGGTGAAACTCTTGAATTTAACAGCAACATTAATCTCACGTACTGAAACTTTTACGTAAATTTACAGTTGAAGCAGGTGCCATATACCAACTTGTGCTTTCTTTTCTATGGTTTTTCAGGCTTAACTGTTTTCTTTTTCTTTCATGTTTCTGTCAGGACCGCCCACGCCACCAGGTTTCTCTGGCCAACTTTTCATGCTTCCACGATTTGTAACATGAACTTTTGATAGAGTTTTGCTGTTTACAGGATGCACGGAAAGTCCCAGTTCAAGCCCAACACCAAACCCATCTCCAAAGACGAGCCCAACACCAAGCCCTTCTCCAAAGACCAGCCCCGCTCCAAGTCCAAATCCTCCAAAGACCAGCCCCGCTCTAAGCCCATCACCTCCAAAGACCAGCCCCGCTCCAAGCCCATCACCTCCAAAGACCTGCCTCGCTCCAAGCCCATCTCCTCTACAGACCAGCCCCGCTCCAAGTCCAACTCCGAAGGCCAGCCCAAGGCATCAGGTGCTACAGTATAGACTTTCCAATCTTTTCTGTGAAAACGCTCTTCTTTTCATTCGTTCAGGAGGGTAAGATCATCACGCTGCGACTCCATAAGCACACGGCATGGCTCCGCGGAATAAGCCAGTGCGTCTCAGGGGACCTTAATCTACGGCTCTCATAACTTTAAAGAGCTTTGTATTTGTTATTGTCCTGAGAATAAAAGAATGCCTAGAACTTTGGTCTTCAGTGTAACCCATGCTTTTCAAGAGACCTGTCAACTGTTGAGAAGGAAGAGTGGAATCAGGCAAGCTCGCGTGTTGGAATAGATATCTCTGTAAAATGCTTACTTGTCCTTGTGATTTGTCTGGTGCTTTAGCGCCGGAGATGTGGTTTATGAGGCCTGGAGGCCCGCACACCTGTTGGAAATTGTGTCAATGGGAACTAAGTAACAACGAGCAGCGAATGAGCTTCAAACCATGATGAGATTGCCGTCCGAAGGAGGTGGTAGTCCCTTCACCAGGATGTCTTTCGTGATGAAGCCGGATCCTCCTCCCCAGTAATGCGTTGGCTTATCGACAACATAGAAAACCTGTAAACATGCGTCAGTTTTCCTTGGAAACACCAGAGTGGAAGTCTGATAGTCTTCAAACAGGACCTTGAAGTTTGGATGCTTTTCAGCTAGTTTGTCGAGCTCGTTCTTGAGTAGAATGTCGTCCGGGGTCAAGTTGGCATAGATCAACGAGACCTGATCGGAGGAAACGCCGCAGAAACATTACACGTTTTTCCTGGAGACAAACCTGTGTTTTATCTTCTGGGTTTTTTAAGATCTTGTTAAGCACTTGAAACATCGGTGTGATCCCGGTACCTCCTGCAATCTAACCGACAGTAAAGTTACGCAGAGAACTCAAAGATATACCACCCCAATACGTGCTTTCATGTTGGCGCTGTATGGGAGCTTGCTGTGGATCTTCCTTGTAAAACTACAGACGGAAAGAAATGTAGTAAACTACACGCACCCTTTCATTTCCAAAGTGTCTCCGGGCCGAAGAGCGGCAAAATATTTGCTCATTTTTTCTTGCGGGTAAGTCTACAAAAGAAATATTTTTTCCATCGTCAGCTGAGAAAGCACGCAAATGCTGAAAGCAATACCTTGACAAGTAATCAAAGTGACCACGAACGTACGGATCACTTATGGGCGTATATCTGTCAGCACGAAGCACAAGTTACAGTGATTCCAAGCGTAAGACAATTTTACATATGGTCTGATGATCACATTTGGCTTCCCATCCTTTTTCGTACCCATAGCAGCCCTGCAAAGCAAAGAAAAATTCACGTATCTTCGTCATGAGGTTTGGAAGCTCCGTTACTTTGTCAAGAGGCACGAAGCAACGTTGCGCATCGTCATCCAAGGCAAACCTGGACGACAAAGAACATCAGCACATCATCTTGTTTTCCATTTTTTCTTTCCTCTTGCCTGTAACGTCTCATGTTGTGAGTTACAGGCTTCGCTTCTAAGAGTCGAAACTTTCGCCATTCGTTCAGATCTAATGCTGGACGGACAATCCACAACTAAAACCTAGAACTTTCGAGCAAAAAGCAAAGCACGAACCAAAATCCCCAGCATTGCTACGAGCGGTCTTTGCAGAATCCACAAGAAACTGATGAGCAGCAGAATGCTACAAGAAAAGATCTCACCTCGCTCTTCCAGGTCGAGTAGATCGTCGCCACTGCTGCCAAAATCGCCACTCCAGTCGCCGCGGCAGCAGCTCCAGTCCGCCGATCCGCGCCAGATCCGGCGGCCTCAGCTCCGCTGTGGAATCCACTCCGCTGCTGGTACGTTCACATACGAGTTTGATTTGCAGTTCGAGATCCCCGTGACTTACCCCACCACCGCTCCAGAGCTAGAGCTCCCGGAACTGGACGGGAAGGTAGAGACGCTCAATCTCTAGCTCATTATCAAGGAAAATTTCTTACCTTCTTCTCTCTTGTATAGGGGTGGAAAGATTTGTTTGACAATCCATTTCAAGCCTTTAAAATTGATTTTTCATTATTGTTTGATTTGTTTTAATTCGCTCTATGCCACTCCTAGATTTGGTGTTGTATATGTGCTTTGCTTGTGGCTAGCAGCTGAAGTTCCTCATGAAATTGGGATGATTATTCATAAGGATAATGTTAGGTGCTGTAGTCTACTATTTTTAAAATTAAATTTATTACTAAAGTAGTGTAAAAGTACAAATTATCCAGTATTTAAATTATTTTAAAATATTTTAATAACCAGGAAAACATTAATTGATATATGATATATTTATTATTAGACCATCATAAATAAAAATAATCAATTATTGATTGTGGCTATGTGAGTGCATGGAATATGGAAAGGGAATACAGAAATGTGCATATCAATTAACCCAAAAACCTTAGCTTATATACAGGAGCGAGTGGTCCGGATTGAAACCAATCCGATGGCTACCAAAATCCACTACGCTAATATTAGTATACGGCATCGTAGCCGTACACTTGGCCCTCACATCATCCCCTCCTCTCGGAATAATGGAAGGCCGTCAGGGTTCTCTTGTAGATGGGCCGGGATCTGGAGGAACGTCAGGAGGAGGCATCGGTGGATCTGTAGACGGTATTAACGGCTCCTGATCCCTCTGTATGAAGCGTTTTAACCGCTGCACATGCACAATCTCCAGAGGATCGGCCTGCTGAACGTCATGCCGAACCTCATAAACTTGTGGTCCAACTTGCCGCAACACCCGATACGGTCCTTTCCACTGCGCAAGGAGCCCCTTAGATAAACCACGTACCGTAAGATGGGGAAAACGGACTAACACCAAATCATCCACTTTGTACTCCGCTGGTGGACGATGATGGGAATTGTAGCGCCGTTGTTGTCCCACTTGTACGCGGCCTAAGTGTTCAGCAGACTCTGCTCGGACAAGTGGAAGAATGCTTGTCAAATATTGATCCCATGACCTAGCATCAGGAGCTCGTGGCAATCGCGAAGGTAAACCTAGCTCTGTTGGTAATATTGGATCATGACCATATAGAAGTTTATATGGTGAAGCACCAACAGAACTCTGCACCCCTGTGACATAAGCATACCGAAGAGACGGCAAATAACCATCCCAATCCGAATGTTGAAAGTTCATATACTTCGCAATCATCCCTTTGAATGTCCGAACGAGCCGTTCCACCAGACCGTCTGATTGTGGATGATAAGCACTCGTAAAAGTGTGGCGTATCCCCAACCGAGATGTCAAAACATGAAATACCTCAGCCATAAATGCAGGACCATTATCCGAAAGAATCCGTTCTGGACAAGAATGCTGGAACACCACTCGATTGAGGAGGAAGTATCCAACAGCAGTTGCAGAGGCACTAGCAAGAGCACCAACTTCCACCCAACGAGTCAAGTAGTCAGAAGCAATAATAACATACTCATTGCCAGCAGTCGATCGCGGAAAAAGTCCCATAAGATCAAACGCCACCAACTCAAACGGACAAGAAACTGCAATTGACTCCAACCGTCCTTCCGCAGCACAAGGGGGAGTATTACGAGCTTGGCACCAAACGCAGCTACGCACATACCGGATAATATCACGTCGCATCTCTGGCCAATAGAAAGATCTGCGCAACTTCTCGGTGACACGACGGTGTCCCATATGCCCACCTAGAATAGGAGAATCATGGTAGGCATGGAGAAACCGCGGAATAAACATCGAAGGCACCACCAGCCGTAAATGAGCATCAGGATCCGTCCCCACAAAATAAAGAAGGCCATCTTCAAGGCGATATTGAGAATGTAAATGCCGAAAAGGCAAGTCATCAGCAAGTGATGCAGGATTCTCAAACCCATCTCGAAGCCTTCGAATCCACGGCTCAATCTTTTGAGCCTCGCGAACCTCATCCAGAGAAGGTAGATCTTGCTCTACGCCCTGTGGACACTGAACGTCAAGGACAGCAACCGCCGACGGCACAGAATCCTCATCTAGAAAATCCACAGATGCTGGAACAACAGGTTCATCAAAAACATGAGAAGTGAGTGGAGAAGGAAGAGGAGCTCGAGAAAGGGCATCAGCATCAGCCATAGAACTCCCTGGGTGATGAACAACATCGAAATCATATATCTGAAGCTTCAAAGCCCATCGAGCCGTACGACCAACCAGGTTCTTCCGCTTCAATAATGAAGTAACAGCAGCATGGTCACCTTCAAGTAACGTCCGAGAACCATGTAGATAGGCATGAAGTTTCTCGAAACCCCAGACTGCTGCTAAACACTCCTTCTCCGTCGTGGAGTAGTTCATCTCCGTTGGTTGTAATGTACGGCTTATGTATGCAATGGGATGGCGCTGACCAGGCACACTCGAGCTCTCTTGCATCAACACACCTCCAAGACCAATGTCAGAAGCATCCACGCGCAAAATAAAAGGTCGAGTGTAGTCAGGATATGCCAAAACCGGAGGAGTCGTCAATAGCTCTTTGAGATTCACGAACGCCCGCTCACAATCGGGAGACCAGATGAAAGATGACGTTGATGACTTCAGCAACGCTCACAATGGTAAAGTGCGATCGGAAAGATGATCCACAAAACGACCGAGATACTGCACCTTACCCAAAAAGCGCTGCACATCATTCACACACTTCGGAGTAGGGAACTTTAGAACAGCCACAAGTTTGTCAGGATCAACTTGCAAACCCTCACGAGAAATACGGTACCCAAGATAAGTCGTGTCCTTGGACCCAAACACGCACTTCGACCGCTTTAGCTTTAAACCAACATCGCGTAGCCGATCCAACACTTTACAAACATCACGAACATGCTCCTCCCACGTCCCCTCCGAGTGGATCAAGACATCATCAATGAAGTCAGCCGTCACCTCTGGCATATCGCAAAGAACCTCGTCCATCATTCGCTGAAAAGTTGCTGGAGCATTGTTCAAACCAAACGGCATCACCAAAAACTCGTACAAACCAAATGGTGTACGAAAAGCAGTCTTAGGAATATCGTCTTCAGCCATCGGTACTTGCCAATACCCAGAAGCAAGATCTAGCTTGGTGAACCAACGACTTCGCCCCAGACGATCCAAGAGATCAGGAGTGTGAGGAAGAGGGTACACGTCCGGGATCGTCACTTCATTTAACGGACGATAGTCGATGCAGAAATGAATACTCCCATCAGGCTTCGTCACAAGATGAGGTTCACATGCCCAAGGACTCCGCGACTTCCGAATAACACCCTTCTCCAACATCTCCTTGACGTTTGCACGTAAAATCTTGATCTCCTTGGGTGACCGACGACGAACAGGAACCTTGATTGGACGAGCATCCCCGGTTGGAATGGGATGACGTGTGGCAATCTTGGCCCCAGACGATAGGTCAAATTCAAAGAGATCAGAATACTCCTTCATGAGCTGATCAACAGCTGCAACACAAAGATCATCGGAGGGATCGGAAAAGGGAAGAGCAGAACAAGATGGAAACACAAGAGGAAATAATGGGGGAACAAAAGTAATGGAAGCAGAGGTAGAAGTAGAGGGACGAAGAGGTACAGAAGTGAGAGGAATGGATGAAACATAAGGAAGTATGAGACAAGGGGGAAAAGCCTCAAAGTCACACTTGGCATGATTGTGCTGCAACCAATCCATACCAAGAATGAGGTCAAAAGCTTGACTCGGCACCACCCGTAATGACTGCAACTCAAGCTCAAGATCACCCACACGCACAACTAGGTCCGCCTCATCTCGTGCACATGCATGTGTACGGCCGTTGCCATAAAGAATGAAAACTGGATCCGCCGCACGACGCAAGTGTAGACGACAATGTGTGGCAACAGGTCGAGCAATAGAAGATAAACTCGAACCTGTATCAACCAACACGGAGAGAAGAATAGGAGACCTCTTGTTATAAAAACGAGCTTGGAAAGTAAACACTGGATGAACCGGTGCCGAGTGAACCCCTTGATGATACTCCCGAAAGAAAGATGGAGGGGTCACTAACTTATTCGCGCAAGGTCCCTCCATTACTCGCGCGACTCCTCGTTTCCCGAATGCACCTCGGTATCCAAACCTTCCACCGCAGCAGCACCAACGGGACGTTGCTGACGCCAAGGTCTCCACCCAGGAAATGGAGGTCGCCAATCCGGAAAGCGCCGACAACGCCGATAAGTATGACCAACTTCATCACACGCCCAGCAACGAATGTCACGGCCACGACCACGTCCTCGCCCTTGTCCTTGGACTCGAGTAGCAGCAGCATCAACCTCCATGGGAACAGGACCATCACTCATAGGAAGTGGAGCTGAAGGACGTGTAGCAAGAAGTGGAAGAGGCGACGTCTCATAACGTTGTGCCAAGCGAAGAGCATCGTCAAGAGTGGCAGGAGCAAGTGCATGCACAAGTCCGACAAGATCTTGACGAAGTGCTGGCCATAGCATTCCTAGCTTGATCCGCTCCGACATATTTGGCTCCGCACGAAGCAAAAGACTTCGGAAACGAACGCCAAATTGCATCACCGACTCAGATGGCCCTT